TGATATCAAATAATGAATTAATAAAAAATAAAAAATATAATACAATTGTGGTATTTAAATTTTCATGAGATTAGTGGCAATGATCATCTTTTACTTACTAGCTTGATTTTTATTCATTTATGTATTTATTCTTGGAAAATTAAATATAAGCTCTTCATAGTGTAAAAGAAATAAGAATATTTTTCCCTATGAAACTCAAATGGTAAGCTGGATCGGGATGTTGATTCCAACTTTTGATAACACTTTAATGTAGAGATTAATTATACAATTAGAAAGTAAAATTTAATTTTATTATTATAGAAAATTGATAAATAATTAAAATTAAAGTGTTAATATAAACGAGGGTGAGAAACACGTATACAACAAAATACATACAACATAAATAATAACTTTTTTTAAAAATTCATCTTCCAGAATTTTCAATGACTAATACTTACACGTTTCTTAAATTTTATAATAAATCCCCGACAAGAATAAATTATCCTTTAAAATAATTTGTCCGCCTAAAACTAAAGTTTTTGAGTGGAGACTTCAAACATTAAGATCTCAATTGAAATTAAAAGTTGATGCTAACAGTCTTAAATCATTGTAAACTTTAAGTAGATCAAAATTTTACTTTTAAAACAGAAGATTTTCACTTTAAATATCTCTTCGTGTCTAAAGTGTCATTCGATTTCCATGTACGTTTCGAATTTTATAGCCACTTTAATTTATTGACTAGAGATTCTCTGGACGCATGCAAGTCTATTAGCTGATGTTCTTGAGGTTTCATCTGTGAGGATGTTCTTGATTCAATTTTTGTGTGTTTTACTACTTCCAGTGCTAAAGTGTATGGTATATATAAGCAGGACCCAATTCTTTATTGCAAAATCAATGAATGACAACAAACTATTATAACAATAGAATACAGAGGTAAAACCCTCAGGTATAAACTACAATTTTCTATTTAAGTAGTAACAAAATGTGAGACAACAGAACAAGCAACCAATACTGATATGACCTGGAAAACAATAACAAGATCGACAGTAAATCAGCATCCTATTCACATATGTTAATGATAAATTATATTCCTATGTGATTGACTGGGGAATGAATGATGAAACATGGAAAGATCAAATACAGCATAAATTATAAATCAGCATCCTATTTATATAAACTCTATTATCCAATGTATGAAAACGAATAAAATATCAAATACAGATCCTTTTGGTTATGCCTTTAATTGTAAAGTTTCTGCAACGTCATCACTTCCACAAAAGGGAGTTGTGATCGAGTACGAGTTTAAACATTTTTTAAAGTTGGATGATTCAATTGAGAATATTCTTGACCCTTCACTAACCACACGACAAGAAGAATATCTAAAAGCATTACCAAAAGATGGTTGATCGTGTATCCGAAAAGCAAAACAAGAATTGATTCATTACCACTTTGGAAGGATGATACTAACATGCAAGAATTTTAAAATGCTAAACAAAAAAAATTAAAAAACTAAAATCTAAACTTCAATCTACTCAGTGATGCATGATCATGAAGTCAAGTAGTACAGTAAAATGCATCAATATAAAATATATGCTTATATATCATTCATGATGCAACATTTACCTCCAAATTTCCACCATGGACTCAAGGTTAACATGCTCATTCAGCCTGCAAAAAAACAGATGAACATCAACTCCCAAGAAATATTGCAGTTGAAATAGCATGGTTAGAAAACTTAATTTTCATGATAAATAATATTCATGTCTCTGGTGAAAAGTTGATCATTTATAATTTAGAGTTACTCCTTAAACTTCTCAGGAAGTTCTCACTCGTCTGACAAGTGAAAAATGGAAGGATCACATGCAATGTACATTTTCATTTGTACTTGTCTTAATTTAGGTTGCAATTTAAGTAAGTTTCAAAAGCTTTTCATATCAAAAATCCTTTCCTTACGAGACCAGAAAGTAGTTTGGTAGGAAAGTCAATATCTACTACAAGCATCTAACGGTTGCAACTTTTGCTATTCTCCCTACTTTCACGTGCACAAACTAGGCTTCACATATATAATTGTTACAATAGTTGATTCAAAGAGTAGTCTAATCAGAAAACTTTATATCCCTCGAGGGTTTAAGAATGTTTGAGGATTAAGGCTTCATGTTTCTCAAACGTACAATAGTAGGTTTTGCCATTAAAGAATGTTCTAGATAATTAATAAATGTTTTTTCCTCTTGTAGATATTGAAAGCATAGGTAGAGAGCCAGCAATTGGTTCTTGAAAGTTTTCATGAAGGCTTACTGAATTCATAATTGTGTCCAATTGAGATTTATGTTAATATATCTACTTGAACGGAACACCTCTTCAGATAATATTTTCATTTATGTTACCTATATATTTATTTATTCGGAAAAAAAATATATCAACCCTATCATTAATGTATACTAAACAAATAAAATTGATGATGAAAAAAAGGGTAATCAAAGTTTTATTTAAATATTATAGTTTTACAACATTTGCATATGAAAAATTAACATCATAATAATGTATATAAAATTAAACATCTTAAAATATTCAGGCATGACAGGAGTCGATCATTAGTGAAATTATTATAGTATACAACACACTTTACTATCAAGACAGGTACATTACTAATTAACAAGGAAGACAATGGTTCCCAAATTTTGTCTTTGATACAAAATGGAACTTGTACATATAAAGTTTTGACATAAGACGAACATAATGATTTACCTTCTCATTCTTGGGACCAAAAATTCCTTTCACAGTCTCGAATACCTCTTCAACAGATCTTGCAGCGTTGATCTACAAAAGAAACAAATTTATTGATGTCCCTACAAAAGAAACTAAGAAACTTATGAAACTATGGTAGAAGCACAACTATAAATTACCTTGCGAACTTTTCCTTTTGCATCGTAATAATTAATCACGGGAAGACTAGACTCCAAGAACACCTTGAACCGCTTCCTTATTGTTTCAATATTGTCATCTTCTCGACCCTTTATAATTAAGAAATGGTCCTCAGTGATGACTAGCAATAGGAAATACAAATAATAACTAAAACCAAACAAAAATAAACCTAAACCTGGTTCCTACTAAGAAGTCGCCTCTCCATCTCTTCCTCGGGGCAATCAAAATATAGGACAAAAGCTGGCTCTATTCCTGTCTGCAAATCCATAATGCATTTTGGAAATAAAAGTTAGTAAACCATTATCCATATCGGAATAGTTAAAATTTTATTTATTTAAATTTTAGTATCTCCATTACCACTTTCTCAAATGCTGCACGATTTTCCTCATTGCGGGGAAAACCATCAATCAGAAATTTGTCATTGCCACTTTCCTTCATTGCTTTTTGTAAGAGCTTAATTGTTACCTCAGAGGGAACAATTTTACCTTCTTTAATCATATTATGAATCATTGTACTGTCAAACAAATGAAATGAATGAGAAGTTAACGGCCATTTAAGCCCAACAATACAAAAAATGGTAGACTAATAACAGTGTCCATCGCTCAGCAGACAAAGTTCAAAAGGAATAAAGTATACAAAAATACATATAATTAGATATTTCGCAGAAGATGAACATGAGTACATGACCTAACATCAATGTTAGGGGATAATTTACATCTTTATTGACTAAAAAGCAAAAGAAAGGGACAAAATGTACTCATCCACAAATCTGGGAAATTTTCCCGTGATATAATCAAAGATGCCAAAAGCACAATATGATATTGAATCCACATGCATATCTATCAATTTTGAGAAAAGAAAAAGATTATGACTCCCTTTTCAATTGTATACTTATTTCTATAACTTCATAATAGATGAAGTTCCCATAAACAAGAGAAATGCATAATAAGGGAAATGAAGTCTCACATTAGAATTTTTTTTTTTAAAGATTCTAGGCAAAGAAACAGGGCAATCTTCATACATGTGTGGCAACAAAAAAGTTTTTTCTGTGCATATATAATTTTTAATAAAATAACAAGATGAAAATTACTACCTATTGATGTTTCTAAAAGAGACAAGATAGACGATAACTGCTCAATCCAGAACAAGTTTATAAATTTATGCATTTATGAATTATAAATAACATATCAACATAAATAATAAACTTGTACCCACCCATTCTCAGAACCAGATTTGATTTCTGCTCGCAGAAGATCCCCAGCACTGAGGTGAGTATACTGAAAATTATCAACAATATTTGCACATTGCGTACCCTTTCCACTGCCTGGGCCACCTATACCATTATCAGATCAATAACCAACTTAAAAGTCAGAAAAAAATGCACTGTAAATTCCAATTAACACATTAAACATAAATGATAAATAAATTCACTCTTAAAACGGAAAGGGGTCATAACAAAAAGTTGTGTGCCATAAGCTAAACAACAAAAAATAAGCCCTTATATTTGCGATTGCAAATAGTTTATAAATACCCAGAATCAAAATATTCATTATAGCTTACAAGTATTTGTATGTTATTTCTTAAAATATTCCTGTGAAAGTTCAATAACAAAAAAGTAATGATGTCATCAGTCAAATTTCTTGTCTAAATGGTAGGCAGATTTAAGCTGAGAAACTAGAAAACAATTAATTGAAGATTCAGGATTTGCAGTACAGCTCGTGCATGTAAACTGAAGCAATGAAGAAAAAGAATCTCAAGGGATTAAAAAACCTTTTCAGTAGAAAATTACAACATTTCCAAAAGAGCAAACTGTTACTAATGAGTGGAACACGGGAAGATCTATGGCATGAAATTACAACGTAAGGGTCATCTTCAACAATTTTAAACAAAGTTCATGCACCAGAATTTGATTGAAAGTTCTTTTAGAGGGAATATGGCAACGGAGATGCTAAACTTAAATGAAACCGATAACTGCTTACCTAAGACAAAAACAACTGAAGGATTTTTCTCTGTGAGGCTTCCATTTGCATCCTACAATGAATGATTAAAAACAGTCTAAATATACAATTCATTAAAAATATCTCTGCAATAGAACAAAAGGCTATAAAGCTAAGCTTAGCGCTTATGTTGGTTTTATAGAACAAAAAGAAAACTATGTTTTGCTGGATATAGTACCAAATTTGCGCAATCAAGGAAAAACATTTTCAATATTCAAACCTACACAAATGTTCACTTTAATATGGTTTAAAAGATAACAAGTGAAAATACATAACAAATTCTAGAAGTGAATCCATGGATACCTTGTTTGCAGCTTCAACACTTCCCATTAGTAGCACCTAAATGTGTTTATCTGTAAAAAAATGTCAAGTATTTGTGAGTCAAATAGAAGTGATCTAAGTCAAAAAAATAAAAAATAAAGCACGTATATTACAATATCCATTAGGTATCGTTACTCATTAACATATTCTAGAATAACATCATAATTAATTAGCTAAACTTCCATACAAAATTGAAGTCATTTCCCTAATGCCAAAGCATAAAGGAATAATTTAAGCACTGATTAAAAAGAATAACTAACATCATTTAATTTCGCTAATCTCACTAAAAATGAACTTTTTCCTAACGTGCCATTTATTGTAACTTGTTCAACAATTAAAAGAATAGTCAGAAGTAGAATTATTTTTAGAATAATATACACAAATCAGTTAACATATAATTTAATTTAGCATAGTTTCATAACTTTTTATTATATCTGAATCATACTCGATAATAGAGAACATTAAAAACATATCCGATCCATAAAATTATAGAATACTTCTGCTTGAATTAAAACATTTAAGGGTGAATTGATCTTATAATGCATTTACAAGATACTCTAAATCTTCACATGCTTACACAGTTTCTATATTCACCTAAATTCACGCTCAACAGATCAAGAGGTTGAGCAAGAGCGACATGCAATACTCTCATTCAGTTTTCCGCTAAGCTTATCACTCAAAATCATTCAAAGCTACCAGCATCATAATTTAGATCTACAGAAAACAAGCCAAAATCACATCTCACAAACCAACTAAACAACTAGCCTACCAATTACATCCACGAGAAAATGAACATCAGAAAACTGAAAATAAGATCACGAATCGCCGAGTTTACAATTGAGGTGAATTTTCGTTACGTTTCAACATTCGATAACGGAATCGAACAATGCACAAACAAATCAAGAGACTCGAGAAATTAAACACGTTACAAGAGGCACAGATCGGAGATCGGCACGGCCAGATCTCGGCGAGATTCAAAGAGATCTCGAGAGAGCGAACCGTAACGAAGCGAATAATAGAAAATTCAAACGAGATTCAGAGTTAGGTCGTACCTTACGCTAGAGAGAATGAGAGAAAGAGAAAGAGATGGAGGGATAAATAGAAGAATGAAGAGGGGAATTTCAATGGTTGTGTGCTATTTATAGAGTTGAAAGAAAGAAGAGAAACAAAAGGAAGGTGAATTTTTTTATTCTCTTTTTAGAGAGAAAAAGAGAGAAGTGAAGCTGACGAAGGAGGAAGAAGGTCGTTTTTAATAGTCGGTAGGGGCAAAATAGGAAAGATATGTTTGCGTGATTGTAACGGCTACAATCATGATTTCCCAGCAACTAAGGAGGGTGGTGAGATTCTTCTGTTAACTACCATGTAACTTTCCTTCTCAAAATAAAAAATAAAAAACAATTTCCTTAAAAACACCTTGATTCAGTCATAATGTTAAAAAATTCTAATTGATTTAAAGTAGAAATTTTTTTTTTGACAAATTTTAGGAATATAAAATCACTGATCACAAATTTAAAAATTATTTAAGATCCATTTATATATTGTATATAACTCTAAACACTTATATCAAATTTAGATAACTATGTAATAAAAATTCATAGCTTTTTAATTATTCAGTATATATATTAATATAGAGAAAAAAAGTGTAATATGAGGATAATATATTTCTATAAAATATCTTTAAATTTATTATAATTTGAATAATATAGATATAATTTAAACCATTTTACTTGTTTGTCTTTTTATATTATTTACTTTGTTATTTATATTTAATAGTAAACATATTTTCTTTTCAAGTTAGTAAGTAGATGTTTTATGCGAAAAAATTAGACGAATTATAATTTTAATAAAATGTATATACTATTTACCAAATAACTTTTTGTTATTGTTTTGTTTACTTTTTGTAACCTAAAATATATTCAAAATAATTTAGTATACCATTAAAAGTCAATTTAATAGTAAAAGAAAAATTCAGGCAAAAAAGAGTCTACCTACCATTATTTCTATAGACCTTAAAATATGTACATTACCCTGTAGTGCAGGTCACTACTTATATAATAAATTTGTAAACTTTTGCGCTAATTATTCAAAAAATATAATAACAATTAGTTTTGTTAATTAATAATGTAAAGGTTATCAAGTAATGCATAATAATTAAATTTTAAATTATAGAAAATTATGGTTTGACTTGGTTTAGGTTATGTTTTGAGTATCTGATAAATTTAGAAACTTCAAATTAAATATTTATTAAATTTTTGTGAATAAATCTTTTTAATTTTAAAAATTTTAATTGATTTTTTATCATTAAATTTTTTTTTATTAATGATGTCACAAATATCTTAATAAGGGTTTTTACTTTTATAGTGAGATCAATGATGTGTAAGAATATTTTATTAATAAATCTTATTCAGTATAGAAGGGGTGATAAAGGCTCTTTATTAACCTTTTTCAGTTATATCTTGATACTTTTCTAAACTTGTTCATATTTTTTTGAGTTGGTGAATAAGCTTTTGTAAGAAAGGATGTAACATAAACTTTAAGACTTTCGGTCATTAAAATAAAATATATTTTTAAATATCAATAATAAAATATTAATAAAGGGAGATTATGATAGAATAAAAGTTGGAAGAAAATCTTAAGAATGATTAGTTATAAGATCAATTGTCCGATTAATATTTATGTAGTTTATTTTTTCGTTTACCAAATTGAAAAATCAATATTTAATTTTTTAAGAAATAAAAGATAGAGAAAATAAAAGGTTGTTTTATCTATGAAACAAGAACATGTTAGAAGAATTTTATCACTTGAAATATAACAACAGAGAAAAAAACGGAGACAATTGTGTGTTATATATAATAAGAGTTTGTAACAATTATATTTTCATAATAAGAGTTTGTGACAATTATATTTTATGAATTTTATTTCTGTAATTATTCCATTTCACGATCTTTTACGATAAAAATTAATTAAAAGAAGACGCTTATTTAAAAAATAAAATGAATTATCATCATAGGCTAATAGTAAATTTACACTAGTCTCTTTTTTTTTAAGAAATCATATTTCCCCTGCATTTTAGTTTTTAAGCTTATTTGTTATTTAATAATTATCATTTATAAAAAGAAAAAATGATATTAATATTAATTATTAATAAGTGCGAAGACCTAGAAAATGGTATTTTAGGAGTGATATAGTAAGACTTCATTATTTTAATATTAAATGATTTTAATATAAATAGTTTCGTTATAAACGAGTTTCATCTCTCCACAAATAATTTTTTTAAAGTTTTCTGACTTCTTTCTATGAGTTCTTCTCCTGTGTTCATGTGATGGGAGATCACAGACCGTTTGAGTGATCACAGCAGCGAGATCTTCAAGTCTATCTGATTAGTTTCTCTAAAAGAGAAAGTTAGTAGTTTCTACTCCTTTTCTTTGGTCTGTCTCATTTCCTTTGCATGTAATAATATTGTTTTTGCATGTGTCATCTGAGTCTTCTATAAGATACTTTGTTGATCAGTGGTTTTAACGATATACCATGATCATGTTTTTATGAGTTAGGTGCAAATAAAGTTCCTTGAGTTGGTGGAGTTGTCTTAGCTCTTGTAGAGTAGTTGAGTCCTATGTAAGATAAGTAATGCTAACCACTAAGTTTTTTTGTTGTTAATGTTTTGTTAACTTGTGTTGCATGCTTGATTTGATTTTCTAAATTGGTTTATGAAGTTCTTGATGTGAATTTTGTTGAATGTGTGTTTGTTTTTTTCTAGAATTTGTGGTATAACATGTTAAATTCTATAGTAATTTTCCTGTTGAATGATTTTAAGGTTGGTGGTATGAGTTTGTGCAAACCAGGACTTGGTTAATTATTGTTCTTGCTTGGTTTTGGTCTAAAAGTGATGGTTTGACAAGTGAATTTTTGTAGGGAGTGTTATTTGAGTAAATTGAATGTTGGTAGTATTTGTTAGTGGTATTTAGGACTTAGGTAGCTTTTTAGTTCACTAAAATGTGGTATGTGACATGTGAAATAAACATGTATGAGTTTGAGCTGTTAGTTTGGTCTGTTGGACCTTGTTCCTAAACAATTGAGAAATTTGGTATTCAATTTGAGTTATAAAAATGTTTTTGAATAAATTAGAGTGTCAATGATACCATTTTGCTCATTTTGGATAGGTATTGGGGGTAATCAAAATCAAAAAATCATGTTGTTGTTAAAAAATGACAGGAATAATCAATTAACAAACCTAATAATCGATTACTTCAATAAGTATTGCATCTTTGCTAATAAAACTCTCTAAAATAATCAATTATCAAACCTGATAACCGATTATTGCAGTAGGTATGGTTGTCTTTGCTTAAAATTCTTTAGAATAATCATTTATCTAGTGAAATAATCGATTATCTAAAAAGAAAAGGGATATTTATGGTTTATGAACATGTTTATGGTTGATGAATATGATGGTATCATGATGTTTCATGAAATACAAATTTGAATATTAATATGTTTGGTAGTTGTTAACACATGATATGGTGGTTATGATGATATGTATAATTTTAATACTTATGAATGTCTTGTGATTTGTAGTGAAATGGAAAGTGTGGATTAAGTATGTGGTGAAAGAAATTTCATGGGAAAGATCTTTGTGTTATATTGTTGTGTATTAAAGTAGAGACTCTAGGATTGGGGGATGATCCTAATACTCCAATAACCATCAAGGCTTAAGTAGAGAAGGATGAGTTATGTCGTAAGGAGTATCAAAGGTTCTAGTCTATGATCACTGGTTTAGGTCATAGGTGTTAACGAATTAACCTTAGTGTGTGGTAGCTTGGGTGGACAAGTTGTTTCACCACACACGGGACAAGTCCTCCATGAGTTCGACATCAATACATGTATCTGGATGGTCGAAGGTTAATATGATTATTTTTGTATTGCTTAATTTATATTATGAATGTGAAATTATTGTTTTAAAATGTATGATTATTCTTTTGGAACTTTAGCTTATCCTTTTGTCTTTGTCTGTTCGTATATGTGTTTGTTTTTTCTTTCTGTAATAATCACCTTAATGATATGAGTTTAGAGGGTGTCTTTGATAAACAAAAGTTAGTTGGTGGTAGAGATGAAACTTAGAGTAGGACGTTTCTTCGTTCTCTTTTTGTTTTGTAAAATTTATAGTACTTTTGGTTCAGTCTAGAATAATATATATATATATATATATATATATATTAATTAATTATGTTATTTATGAATAGTTGTAATAACATTTTATATACTTTTTCTCGAATTAACTATTTTATAATATTAAAAATGTAATATATTATAAAATAATTAAATATTATAAGATTGAGATGTTGCATGCAATTTCAACTATTAATATTGTTTAAACAAAATTAATAATATAAAAATTATTATTTTAAAACTACTTTTTTATATATTATATTGCAACCGAAATATGTTTCAAAACAAGGAATGAGTACATATTTGTTGAAATTTTACACCACGCCTCTATTTTTTTTAATATACATATCTTTAAAATTACTTGAATTATTAAAACAATATGTGATATCATATTAGTGGGAAAAATTATAAATATATATATATATAATTATATATATATATATATATATATATATATATA